ATATATAACAACAGCGAACAGTAGCGGATGAATAAGAATAGAATCATGAAGTCTGTTCGTGTGCTACTTCAATTTAAAACCACTTGAAAATTACGCGCGAATGTGAAACTGCAGTAACCACTAATTATTTGGATATCTCTGAGTTGTTCAGCAAACCTCATCTTTAAAAGAAATACGAATGTTCCTCATTATGAGGATAGGACCAATTAAAAAGAGAAGAGAATGTCTATCATGTGTAGAAGATAGAAGATGATTTAAGAAGTGGAAAGTAATTCAATTTGAATCGATCAATTTGGGGCTCTACCAGCTCTTGATGACTTGAGGAAGCATCAGACTAATGTGAATTCTTTAACCTTAGTTTGTCAGTATGCGTTAAGGCTATTTATCCGTTAATCTTTGAAAAGAAAAATGTACAGTTGAATCGATTCAGCCAAATCAAAGAATTGTTTTACAATAGTATTTTATCTTTAATTCCCGTGAAGTCATTAATTAATTCAAGACCCATGTTTCGAATGTACGTTTATTCCCGAAATGATTAGAACCGATATGTTCTCTTTCAAAATGAACCCTTGTCTCGAGTGTATATGTCTACCTTGAAAGTGGTCGTGTGTCATAGGCCCAAACGGAATTTCAAATTGAAAAACAATCATGTATTTCGAGTGTGACGTTTTTTTTTTTGATTATTTTTGTGCCTGTTTTAACTACTTAACTATTGTGGCTATTATTTTAGAATTTCCAAGCAAATTCATAAGAAGCCGGGTTGCTGGATGGAACAGAAACTTTATTTCTTTTCACGTAATATTAAAGAAAAGCATCATCACATCTTTGAAGGCAATGAAACTGTATTGTTCTAACTCAAATGAAATGTTGCTTGATATGGCATGGCATGTTCATGTGTGCACTATCGTTTGAATGTGCATAAGAAATGCTCGTAAATAATCTTCGGTCAAACATGATCGCTAATAAATGAAGTGACTTACACCGGGAAGTGTCTTCTGATCGTGAAGAGCCGACTGACATCTTATTGCGCTATCGCGATGACAGTACGTCAGAAATGCACAGCCTTTATGCAGGCCTGTATATTTGTCTTTGAGAATGGTGAACTCGTAAATTTTACCAAACGATTCAAACAAATGACGAAGATCCTTTTCTTCAAGATTGCGAGGAATCTGAAATAATAGTCGATTTATTTCACGTTAAATGTTTGCATTAAGGTTGTTCAGATAGAAATGAAGTTTCTACAGTCGTGCAATATAACTCGTGATAATGTTCCAGTATTTTTGCCTCTTCAATGAATTGCCAACTAAGATTGTACATTCAAAAAATCATTCAGATTTAGCTGCATGGATTGAATATACTGACAATGAGTACAACTTTTAAAGATGATCAAACTACATTGAGGATGTTTGCTGCTCTGATTTTAGGCGAATGTGATTCGTAGATGTATTCTAATGAAAATGAGTGGACGGATGGTGAATGGACAAGCGAATGCTTGAAAGAGAAAAGATTAATGATCGTCAGAGTGATCATGCGCTGTATTATGGGATGGCCAGGTGTTTCTCGTGCATCTCAGCTCAATTCATTCATTGATTATAGTCGCTCCTATAAAGCCCCATCTGCTCGCACTCATCACATGAATATGTTTCATCTGCAGCCCACTTTAAACCATTGTTTGCATGACCAACTGTTTCAATTTGGTACTAATGAGATGAATCCAAACTGAGCCATCAAAATTGTATTGACAAGAGATGCTGATGAGAATGAGAAAGGAACAGTCTTTCGCTCACGCAATACATTCAAACATATCCTAAGTTATATCGTCAAATCGATCAAAAATTGATTGAATTGATCAACTGCAATTCTCTATCGAATTTTTTAATTTCACGGTGCTTCCAAATTCACAGCTTGAGGGTTTTCTCAATTCTATTAAAGGAGTTTTCATAATTCTGATGGGTCGTTATGAGTTCATCATATTCTAATGCCTTTCTCCGAAAACATTGGTCCAGTTCAGCTGACCTGAACGTAGTGAGAAGTTGATTGGACTGCTATTGCAGCATTACCTTTGAATACGCTCTATCTATTTGGATTGATGGAAACCATTAAAAATCTATCGTATACCAATTCCAGGAATCTTTTCTGCTCACAATCAACGATAGAACTTGATAAAGTGTTCTACACCTATTAAATGTCAACATCGAATAATTTTGGTTATCCTTAAACCTGCACCTATGCATGGACCAATTTTTAACGATGTCTTTTAACTGTAGTAGAACACTGCTTGAACAGTTGTCAAGAGTATATCCCATTCACATTCATGTCTCGTTTCCAAATCATTGATTTTTTAGGCATGAATCTTGCATTTGACTGAGATCGTGCGAGACATTGCGTTTGGCTGAACAAAAGTATCAATAAGATCATTTCTAGATTCAAACAATCGCTTGCAAGATTACTGTGGCGAACGTGACATCACAAGCAAAAAGCATTGAGCGTTGCAACCCTATCAATTGAACTTCTTCATGTCACTATTGCACAACAACAATCTCTTCCTTCTTACATCCTTAAAATTTTTCAGTCACCAATGGAGCAACGTCAAAAACTTTATGTCCGACGATAATGATGATAGATGTCGAACAAATCTCTCCTTTGCAACAACTTATTCAAAATTAACGATGAAACAAATTGATGAAATCTCTGTGCGTAGGTCGTTATTGGGCGTTGACGAAATGATGCAGTTGAGGTGTGCTAACTATAGGTTGGAAGACAACTGCGCAGATTTATGTGTCACTGAGATAAGTTCAGGCAAGAATCAGTTAGAAGCTATAAAGACAACGATCCCGGTGACTATTTGAAAACGTTGAACTCTTCTCATATTAATTTTATCATCTTTCGAGCATGCCATCAATTGCGATTGAAAGATTAAAAAATCCGTTTTTGACAAATTAAAAAATCCATTTTACGCATCAAATTACTCAAGTTCACTTAGTTTAGTGCATTTTTTCAGACATTCTAGAGATGACACAATGGTAGTACTAATAAATAATTTAGTCAGTCGATTTAATACATCGGCACTAATGAGTGACCGTGAGTGACCTAAATTCAAATTTTCATTCTAGAGAATAAAAAAAGATGATCATTCCTGATGATAATGAGTTCGTGATGTCATTCATCATTGAAGATAGTGAAAATTTTCAGTTCAAAAATGAGATCATGCTCAATGTATTTTTAAATCTTCTTTCACGCTATGTGCTTTGCTGAATGTTTATATCTATACCAGAGTGGACTTGCAAATGTGCACAATCGAAACGCAAATGATTGCTATTTAAGAAGTAGAAGATATTTTCTTAAATTCATGAAAAGATTTATGCAATACAACCATTTTATAAACACTAAAATTCAGGATGCAGATCCTTTTGAACTGTGCCTATGATAAGCAATACTCCAATTTTGAACGATAGCTTAAAATCGTCGAGTCTTCGAAAGATATTATTTTGATCATAAACATAGCATTAGGCGATCTACCACACTGCTACTAAAAATTTAACTACGGTAGTTGATACACGCTGATGTCAGCAAGCATCAAAATTCATTCAGGAAAGATACAAATACTAGATTGATGATAAAAGTTCAATCGAATGGCATTTCAGTGAACAATTTTACGAATTCATCATGAGTAAGATTCTTAATACAGAATCGATTAGTGGAATGGGAATGCCGCTTGTGAAGATGAAGAGCTGCTGATTAAAAATTGATATGCAAGTAAAGTGCCGATGTTCACCACTTGACTTCATGTAACAAATGCATGAAACAGTTTTGAAGCATTTGCAATAAATGTTATGAATTTTGATGATTATGATGGTGATTGTAAAAAAGAGTTGTATTCAAATTCAAATGATACAGCTTGCTTACTTGGCCAACGAAGAGCTTGATGGCGTCGCTGTCTTTTACTGGGAATCCATTGCTATCGGTCGAGGAGGCTGGACTAAGTGCTCCTCCATTCATCGTTTCCAGTTGTTGATGGACCATAACAAAAGCATGCGAAACAATCAAAAACTAACACCGACACATACACTTCACAGCAAGTGGCTTCTTAAATTCAGGGGATATTGAAGACGAGACCAAACAACCAAACAACAATACAGTGATTAAGCTCGAATTAATAGGGCCGACTGTAACACACAATCGATTGCAAATACACAATGACAATAACCACAACGAGATTGTATTTTACAGTAATACACAAAGTACTTATCACAAAAACGAACGATGTATTCTCGCACCGAGACAAAAATCGGTACTAATAAGGAAAAGAGGATTGAGATTTAAGGATGTCAGTTTACAATAAATACAAAAGAGGACAAGAACTGGCAACAACACCAACGACTATGTAATGCAGTATCAGACACGGGCCGACAAAGCAGACAGACAAAAAAATAATAACAATGAGCACGACCACAGCACACAACAGCACAAACACACGCACAACGCGGTTCGGCCCCTAGCTAATGGCATTAGCGAGGCGCGTGGTGGTCGATGCCGCATCGCACATGCTTTCATTAATCTGGTGGATGAAGTAACGGACCGCCTCAATGCTAAGCAACGATTGGTCGTGGACTTACGGATGATCGAACGGTTTTGTGGAACATACCCTCCTCTTGCTCTGAGGATATGAGATACAGCTAGTCTTATCGACTAGCATGAGCTTACGCATGCGCACATGTCCCGAGCATGATGCACACACATCGATATGGATCGACCGACGACCGACCGGCAGCTGTATTAGATGTGTACTAAGGCGGTAGACATATAAGTCAGCTTGTTTGTGATGCGTTTCCTATAGCTGAATGAAAGCTTAGCATAAACTCATCAACTCGCGTTACCTACACTCTCTTCATTAACTCAAAATCTATGAACTACATAAGAATATGATATCGATTTGCCGCAGAATCTCTTATGAATAGTTGTACAACATTTCTAGAATTATTTATTTCGACGAATTTCTTTATTGGTCGCAGTTAGTCGATATTTTAAAATTCTAGTAACCTACAGACTTTAAAGGCTGGTAGCAAGCCCGCTGCTTGTTGATTAAACTACAATGTTGATTGAAGTTTTCGTTAAGTGCGTAGAGTTGAGTTTTCAGCAATATTTTTTTGGTTCAAAAGTTATGCGCTGCCTGAAGTTTTAGAGTGAAATTCTTTTCAGCATGAATAGTACTCGAGATAAATGATTAGAGAAAGCATCAGAGTAAAGCTCGAAACCGTAGCACACAGGCAGCCATATGTGAATGCTCTTAAATGCCACATTTTTGCCTTGACTGTATCAGTTCATTGAAGTTTTTACTTCATTCATTTCGAGCCGTTGATTTTGCTCAGCATTAAAGAATTTGCCATTAAGCAGTCCCAGATAACAACATTAACTTGCGTTCCATGAAAAGATTTGGATGTACAATCGAAGCAATAGAATAAAAATGAGCATTAATTAATTGAAGATGCTTCGTAAAGTATTATATTGCATCATATCGTATTTGTAACCATCGTGTGTTCAGCTGACGTTCTCTGCACATTGTGCTTACCGTATGCTCAACTGACTGATTGCGTTGTGGCGATGTGGGTGGGTTCAGCGTTTGTAAAACTGTTTGAAGCAGTTATGGTACTGTATCTCGTTCCGACACACATATCAACTTGATTAAGCTGTTCAGTGCATTACGAAACTTTTTGATTACGTATATGTATTTTCTCGCAATTATACTCGCTTAAGAAATATTCATTAGTTTCATCAGAACATTCACAGCAGTTTTGTTGGTTTACCACTTAAAGTTTACTTTATTTCAAGTTTACCCATTTCTTACCTCAATAAAGATGGAGCACAAATAAAGAAATCGTGGGCAAGTGAAGCAATGATTGAGTAAATTTTGGAAGTTGCAGTAGAATTTGTCTTTAGAACGTGGCGAAATTTTCAGTTTTTGATTTACTGGTCGATAAAAAGTTGTTAATATTGATAATCACTCTTGATTGTCTCCGTGAAGGATGGTTATGCTTAATTCAATATTCCTCTGAGAAAATCTTTCCGGAATTTTGGATGCAATGATTGGAAAGTTTTGAAGTGGTAAGCGTGCAGCTAAAGTATACTTCGCCAAACTGAAATCATGGAAAAATGAAGTTGAAGTATACTATAAGAAATTTTTGGAATGCAAAGTACAGAGAAAACAAATTTTAAGTAACGTAGATCGAACTGAAGTGAAGACAGAGCATACTTTTCAAATTTTTGGTAAATTCATAGCACTGCTTCACATTAGCTTCCCCTCAGATTTTGTGCGTTGATGGTGCATATCGCCATCACACTTTTTGCAATGCCCTATCCACATTGCACTTCAAAATCATTCTGAATAAATCAAATTTTGCTTTTTCAAGATTAGCGAATCGATGACTTCTGCGCAAATCAGCACCATATGCATTTTTTACCTTAAGAAGCAGAGTGCATCAATCATTTGAAAAGAAAATATCGTTAAAGAACCATTGTTATTAGTTACGAATTGACTGGTATCAAACAAATATCTATAGCTTATATTCTTATTGTTTCTTGCTAAAAAAAAGCATTTTGTGAGGAAACATTCAGCTGGAACAGGTAACGACAATTCGTGCATCTTCACGAGTGAAGAAATGACTATTGGATAAACACGATTGAGCTCGGTTGATTTTAAGTGTGCATTAACTTTTATTACTTCGTGCCACTTATCAATGCTACTTCACCAATTATCAAAGGAACAGAGATTAAAAACGAGACTAACAAAGCATGAGACACCAACAATTGACACAAGAACAAACAATCGGCAATAAATTGTTGTAATGTGAAACGAATCGAGCGTATTGTTTCAGCAGCACTACTGTTTAAATATATCAAATGCTCTGATTTTCGAAGCAGTGAAGAAGCATGTTGATGCGCTTATACGATCTCCACTCATTTGCAATCTTCAATTTTCACTTGTGCAGCAGTGCACATAAGCACACTCATATGCTCTTAGAGATTGCAACCCATCTCATTTATCATACCCATTCAATATCTCATGCACAATCAAATCATCTTACTATTAGTTACGCTTCACTTACGAACGTATTATTCACAACCTATCACAAAGAAACATTCACATACACAAAATCCTAGACTTCAGTCCGGGGTCAAATAATGCAACGTCATCCACCCTGTTGTTGTCTGATCTTTCTTTTCTCTCATCGCAGTTTGATATCTGCAGTCTCTTCGCATCCGCCCATTCACTAGTTAATTTATACATGGTGTTATTTCGAAGTGATGACGACAAATGCAGAGTGTTGATGCAATATTCATTTCTTACACGAGATTTCAAGCATATTCTTGCAAGTACCATAAGTGAACAAATATTTGTTTGGAGTTTGAAAATTTCTTGTTACTGGTATCCAACGATATTGTATTGTTTTTCAGCTGATTTTAGATGCTTAATAGCATCTATTAACGCAGAAAGCACAGACTGAATTAATTCACTTGGGCAGAAAGGCAAGAAGACGCTTACCATTGCTGGAATTGCTTTTCTGAAATCAGCATTCATTTCCAACAGCAGACAAGCATCACTACTCGTAATAATCAGCACTCTAAATTATACGCGCACATCAGTGTTCACTTGTGCGTGCATCAGACTAATTGGTGATTGATTTAACGCTTTCAGTACTCGATGTTTGTACGAAATTCCATATTGAGCTTCACTTTGAAGACGTACTTCTCAATAAGGCCGCCAAGTTCGGCTACATTCTTAAAGCTCGCTACTTCAATAACTCTTGATACTACTCTTCCTTCTTATCATCTTGGTTCGATTCATTATGACTTGGACATACCGGACTAATGGCTAATATCCAGTATGTCCAAATAGTCTTAGTAGTAGTTCCATAAAATTAAACTTACAATTATTGCATGAAAAGTATTAGATGTACAAATATTGATACTGAGCCATACCATATTAATATGGTACATTTATGCGATTAACTTGGTTTGCCATGAAACATGAAAACGCTGAAGACCAAAACTTATTAATATGTTAACATCTTGATCGAGAATGAATCAGTGTTATCGAACAAGCAATTTTTGACGATATTTTCGCGACTCAGGATGATGTAGACGTTTTCTGTCACATGTAGTGAATGCTGTAACAGTTACAGTGTATAGTCCGATGAAGGTGGCTTTGATTTGAATTAGTGCCGTAGAAATGACATATTATCATTGCATGTGACCGATAGACAACCACGATGAAAATTGTGTCAGATGTCTGCAAAACTGAAGCGTTTATTAATTTGCTCAACACATCTATCAGATGATGGCGTTATTAAAGTGATTTTAATAAGTTGCAGCAAACCACGAATGGGATACTAAAAGAACTTCGCTATAATTGGAATTCAATCTAAATTCATTCTCTTCTGAATCCAAAACTGAGAAGGTTATTAGATTTTCATAAATAATAAGAAGCATAACTAATAATTATTTCGTGGTGCGATTTTTGTTGTGATTGAAAGGTTATGGGGGGGGGGGGGGTGGTTCAAAACTATGTCCTCTATGGTTCGCACATATCCGTTCCCGTATTTCAGTTTTGCGCTGACCGGTTGAGGGAAAAGCATTTTGAGCAAATTTTGTTATGCCTAAATATATCATACAAGACCTAATATCGCTCTTCTCAAAAAGCTAAGTTAAAGGTACGAAGAGATTAATAAAGAATGAGGAAGGGATAAGAATGAGAAATTTTATGCGTAACGGATTTTAAAAAAAAACAGAAATCGATTTTTTTGTGGTTGAAAGATGGAGACTGTGATAACAAATTATCTGACAGTCTCATTTGAAGTAAAAAACTTCCTGACGTTATTACGTTCGGACATTATGAGTGATGGTCATCAGTGCATCAATGTTGCATGTACTCTTTATGTGCAAGCTCATTGTTTCCGCATACTAGCAAGACATTACATGACTAATGCTTGTAATCAATACCGCACGAAATTGCTCAGTTCGTTGAGCTCGCAGAAGAAATGTTCACGGTTATAATTTCTAACCGAACGTTGTACAATTTCGTGAACGATGCGCACATTTTGGTGTTATAAATTCCTTTTCGGCAATAACCACAGTCACTATATGTAGCAGAAAAAAATTTGCATCAAACTCAAATGATCCAAAGGCAAATTCTGGTGAGCAAATTTGACGCTTCCAAAGAAGTAATAAAATTGAATCGAACTTAAACATCAAGTAAATCCGGCTAACAAAATCGAATCGGTGGGAATTTATTCTAGAATTCCTTAATGATACTAACTTTTCACTAAAAAGTCAGCTTTTTGCGGAGTAACATATTTCATTCAGTTGATTTGTATAATCAACTGGCGATTATCACAGAATAACCCAATTGTCCAAATTTATCCAAATTTCTATTGTCCAAATAGAAAAAAAAATCGATGAGAAAACTGAAGAATTTTTCGAAGTTATTCAGTTTTAACGGCTCAATTTGCTCATCGTATCACAAAAACTTTTCGAGATCAATTACTAGCGAAATGAAGAGTTTACATTCCAGCTAAGTTTTCTGCACTCGGAAATTGTTCTAGAGGAATCTTCGTCATTAGATGTGCTCATTTCGTGTAATGTTTCACGGAAAAGGGAGTCTGCGATAATGAGATTAGCATTGCATAAAAGTTTCGAGAGGGTGCATTTTTGCAAGAATTTCCTCGAAATGTTGAGTCTTTGCAAAGTCTTTGCAAGAGTCTTGCAATATTTGAGTTTTTTGAACTGCTTCGGAAAGTGATCAATTGAATCTCATTCACGCTTCATTATTTAAGCATTGAAATCATTTGAGAGCTCCAACAATGGATGTCTGTCTTTCTTATGCATTTCGATTTTCTTCTCTTGTCACTTTAAAATAACTGGAACATTTGCTCAATCAATTGTACTGCTAATAAGGAAATCACGTTCATTTTTTTAATTGGTGAATCTGGCTCGGATCAGATGAATTTTATAATTTCAGATGATGCAAACACAGGTTACGGAAAGTTGAATGGTGGAATGAATCCCTTCCAAGTTATATATTTTTACAGCAGATTTGTCAATTCATTGCTTCAATATTCACTGATTCAAGATTGATGCAATCCGTTTGTGTGGTTCTCGTTAATATGTTGAACTCTGCTCTTTTGGTTTGAGTATACACAAAACAACATTCTCGCAGTTGCTGAAACGAAATACATGCACCCACATTTGCTGAATTCATATAAAATGTTTCATATCCGTGTACAGAACAAAGATCCATAAATAGATCTTTATGGAATAAAGACATGAAATCGACATGACATTTTTCATTTCAATATTTCAAAATTGAAACAAATATTTCAATTTATTTTTCAACAATTTGAAACTTTTCAACATTCAACATTTTTAACATTTCAATTTTCAACACACATTCAACATTCAATATTTTGAGAATATTTTAACTGAAATATTTTCAAAATTTCATGTTAACATGAAATTTTGTTTCTCATCTCTTTGGTTCAAGAAGCATTAATTTCTAGGTCCCAAATCAGAAAACGATTTCGGAATATGACATAAACAGCATCGAAATGTGTTTGATGTTTTTATTCATACTTCCGAATACGACATTTGTTCATGCGTTTTGAAAAGTGGGTTGATTGCTCTATGGATGATTTTGGACTATCGGACACGAACGTTTTTGACTGGCGAGCTAAATTGATGAGGTTGTTTCGAGCACATTGTTGTCGGGCTTCTAACTATGGGGGACCATCGTATGCGACATTGAAATGGTACTGCTAACGTATTGTTTTTTCATTCGTTTTTGTTTCAGTTGTTGCGATTCTTGTTTCATGTGTAAATTTGTTAATTAGTCGCGAAGGGTGTTCGATCGACTGAGCGACGATGTTCAGAGGTCAAAAAATTTACCTACAGTTAGTTCATAAGTACTAGACCCTATTCACTCGTTCCTCGAAGTTATCTGCAACTTTTTCTGCTGTTTATGTATAGTTACGTTTTCGAATGCTGAAATTTTGCATTATATTCAATGTTGTGGGTGAATATTACTTCCTTTTCAGTGTCTTGATATTTTTATCACTTCTTCTAGTCTATTACATTTTTTCTATATATTTGTATCGTTTGTGGCAGTTTTCTCCATCCTCTCCTAACGATTTAGTAAAGAAAAACTGACATCTGAACTAATAGAAAAAAGAAACAACAGTGCGCTTAGTATTCGCAGAATCAGCGATGAGAATTCCAATTCCAGCTGCAAACGTCATCCTAATGCCAGCCAGCGCTACGTCATATACACCTCTAATGTGGACGGATTGATGTCAACTGAACCACATAAATCTAGCACACATTCGCTTAGAAAGGTGCTAGCAAAAGCATATACTTGTACATACCGCAATTTGACATTTATTCGAGCATCGTGTCTGTCGTCAAACCCTCTGTCAAGTGCGATGCTCTCTAATGATCGATTCGATGTCTGATTTTCAGTTTCATTGCTGTATTCCACTTCTCAATTGACAACTGAATCGAATAAAATTCAATGAGAAAATTACTATGCGATGTTCAATTTCATCACTAAACAAGCATTATGTGGGTGTATTTTTATGTGATTGTGTGCATAGTTAGTATGTGCCAATGTAGATGTATCGACGATTACGTTACTGGTTTCTATACACATATATTTATGCGCTGTGCAGTCGCAGTATTATAATGTTATTGAATGCGTACAACGATGCTGTTGGAGTGAGTGGTGGTCGTCGAGCACAGAGAGACACAGAAACACACGCACAATAACATATTCGATGGAGGTTATCAATGCTTATGCTGTGCTTACTTAGCAATTTTTATTTACTTGTTGATGTAGACGAGCACTTTATCATGAGAACCTTGGTGTTCATTCATTCATTTCGTTATCTTTGTTGCATCTTTTGTTCGTTTGATTTTTCGTCGTTGTCATCCGAAGTGCAATGAAGCAGAGAAGTGCGTAAAAATAGCTCATATCATGAGAAGAGTGTGTGCTGAATGTTTTCTTAGGAAGCTGGTGCAAGGGGACACACTATTTGTGTTGTTTTTTGTGTGGTTTGATAAACGCTGTTCGTTTACTTTTCATTTGATTTTTGAATGTAAACAGAATTGACAGTGAAATACTCACGTATTGAGCAGCTTGCTTTAGCATGCAAAATGCAGATAAGCACCAGCTTTTGGTTCATTACAATTTTTACTACATCGCATTTTGGTGGTGCTGTCGCATTTTGATTTATATGCACAACAAAATCGCTACCATAAAATTTGCTGCCAGGTGAAAGAAACACTATAATTCACATCTATTCCGCTTTCTCAAAACGGTTGGCCGATCGATCGTTCTTAATAAATTTGATGATTGGCTAGGGCACTGCCCTTTTGTTTGCTTCTCCTTTTTGCTACGACTTTACTCTTCGCTCACTCATTCATTTCATGGAATACAAAAGATAACTATAGATTTTTTTAATGTTCTCTGTAATAACTATAACAGATCTTTTGATACCGATTAGAAGTGATTGAATTATGCAGATATTCGTAGTGAAGCTAATGGTTGACTCATTTGTGATTGATGTACACAAACGGTATCTGAATGAAGCTGCGCCATTCACTTCAATGCTCTTTTTGTGACTACTACTAATCAAGTAACTAAAAGTAAAGCATTCTCGAATTTTGTAACCATCGACGCGTATAAATCTGAGAATGAAATGCTCTTCCTTAAACGCTTACCAATGCTTAGCTTAATATCAGCACAAATGCTTAGCCTAAAAGAAAAACTATAGTGACATTGAAAGTGTCGCATGCCATTAGCTTGCAGTTGGTAAAGATTGACTGTTGATGCGCATTGAAATTTGACGTTCATAGTTCGTGTTGAGAGCGTAGCACATTATCTCTTGAAAGTGATAATCAGTTTGCTGATCAAAATGTAATTTGTCATACAGTGTACGGTCATCGCGATCACTGTGAATGCTTCAAGACTGAAAGTCTATTTATCTCATGTCATTTGAATCGAACCGAAGATTTAGCGTGTCTGAGCAGCTTCTTCTATACAGAAATATCTAGAGAGGACTCATATCCACACATAATCCATAGAGAATGTTGAAAGCCCTGCGATGCACTCAACGAAACGGTTCAATACCATTAGTTTTACAGTCAAGGTATGTTATTGTTGTTGAATCTATTTGTTATCGGTTTATGAAATTTTTACCTGATTCGATAATTTATCAGCTGTAATCACACTATCGTATTGAATCTGTGTGTAATCCAATTAAAATTTATGCATCTTTCACTGAAAGCCAATATTGATTCATTGCTTGGCTCGTTCCATCGACTGATTGGCTGAATGCTATTAAAGCTTCATTTCATGCTAGCGTCCTAAATGTTGTGTTGTGTGAGCATTTTTGAAGATTGAATTAATGAGTTGATGGTTACGGCTGGTTGCGATTATTGCAGGTTGGCGAGTGATGTGCCCCATGATGCATTTGCTGTGATAATCGGTGGTGGGGTTGCAGGTACATCGGTAGCCTATCACTTAACAAAAAGGAATATCAATCAAGTCGTTCTACTCGAAAAAGGTAAACTTGCCTCAGGAACAACTTTTCATTCGGTTCGTTTGTTATTTTAAATAATTCTGGCATTATTTTTAAAAATTTTTCTTATTTATATTATTGTAATCACTCTTGTCATTATCATTATTAATACAATATTGTTCATGCTTTTTGCTTACTATTAATAAATAATATCTTTGATTATGCAAATTTCAATGCTGACTTAAAATTTTGAAGTTCGTTGACTTGTTAATAACATGTTAGGTTGGACCATCTTCTTTTCGGTTTCACGCCACCCACATCAGATCTATTTCAAGTGCTGATCAAAAATTCATCTTCAAATTTAAAATGCGTACTATCATGACGGAAAGTGCTTCATTTCAACTGCTCAGTGCTTTTCAGTGTTTCGTTTTTTTTCTTTTTGAGCGACAGCTTTGCGATTGTCAATTTGCACCAATATCATAGATTCCCAATATCGTTCTATGAAGCATTTTTGGTATTCTGATCATTTTGTTGCTTTTGTTGTCTGATGTTTGTTCTATCGTCAACGTTAGAGATAACCTTCTTACAGTGAATGAGAATTTAACTTTGTCTGTATGAGAACAATCCAGAACTTGATTTATAAAAATAGCAGGTGATCGAAGAGATGGTTACTGAAGGTGTGCGTACGCTTTGATAAGAGCTCCTGCTTGTAGAAGGGAACAAAAAATGATTTTTGATATTAACTTGTATAGTTCATTCACTGTTGTTATCATTGATTTTATTGCCCTTGTACCGCATTTTCATAGAGCATATTTGTTATCTGACAGCAAATAGTTGTCGATGTATGTTTGCAGAATATTGAAGATATCACGCTAAATGCTAAAACAGTTACGTAAGTCAGTGATCTTGTGATGCAATGCGCATGTCCTTCACTCGCACCAGTGATCAATTAATTAACTAATAAAAGAGTTGATTATTTGAACAGTGAAGATACGTCAACCATTAGACACATTGATGTTCCTTTGATTGTTTGTTTAAATTAATGACTCGTATTGCTCGTTTCTTTTTGTTTGTTTGAAAGGACCGTAATGTTGGTCTTGTCTTCGTCATTTGAAATAGCACCATTTTTTCAATATGTTCGTTTCAGTTTTAGATTTGTTGAATTAAACGGATTTAAATAAGTTGTGTTCAACTAATTAATGGGTGGTTGCATTCGATTTTGTTTCGTTTTTGATGTTTATTTCCGTGTCCGATAATGGATGGCTTATTTTGTTTGCTTTATGTTAAGTTCATTTCAAATTTCACTTTTATGACATCCTCATGCGATATCTAAACGCCATTTCGTGGTGTTCAATTTGGTCAGCTCATTTCTTCATACACGTTGAATTTTCTAGGGCGAAGTGTTGTGATTGATATATTAACGTTATTTGTATTCTAACACATACTGTTACATTTTTTCTTTTGAAATATTCCATCTTGTGGAACTGTGTTTGTTGTTTTAGCCAGGTCTTGTCAGTGCTAGTCATCCAGCACATCGATATAAACCTATACTTGCCTATTCAGTGGATCTGTATAATCGCATTGGTAAGGAGACTGGTGAGGTTAGTTTATTCATTTCTTCGTTTAATCACCTATGTGTTATCGCTTTATTTTGTTCTTATTGATTCAAAGAATTTGCTCGATTTTGTAGGTTTATCGCATTTATCTCTTCTTTATCGAGTTAGGTTTTAGGGCCCTCCCCTGAGTGTTGATTAAAGACACGACGTAATGAGCATGACAAAAATGCTGTTTTGAGCGATGTAGCAGTCACTCATCAACTGGAGAATGAACGATCTAACTCTTAAGGCTTATCCAGTTACAATAAAGTGGTGTCCAATTATTGTGCGATCAAGAAGATGTACTATTGCGTGTGCCTGTTAGGTACCAGTGCTCTCGTACCTATTTCTTTTTGCAGAATGTTGATTTTTCGCAAACAGGCACTGTGCGATTGGCAACCAATGATACGAGAATGGAAGAATTCCGTCGTTACGTCGCACGGGACTACTTCCAGGTATTGCTCATTCTACGTGTCATTCACATTTGTCTTTCTTCAACTGCGCTTTAAGCAGTATGATGAAGTAACTTAATTACGAAGTTATTCAAAATGAGAAAAGTGTACAAGAAGAAAGGTTTTCTCATTGTAATATGATTGTATTGCAGACAGGTGATGTATGTAAAACGTCATTAATCGACGCAGATGAAGTGAAGAAGTTGGCACCAATAATTGACGTGTCAAAAGTACGTGGTGCATTGTATACGACGGGTGATGGTTTCATCAATGCCCAAGCTCTGACAAGAGCTTTAGCGAAAGGAGCTGAAAATGGAGGTGCAACTATTGTTGAGCAATGCCCAAAGTTTAAGATTATTCCTGTTGCAAATAATGAATGGTTGGTGCAGTTGGAAGATGGCCGTGAGATACGCACGAGGAATATCGTCAATGCCGCTGGTTGGTTTTCTGATTTGTTTTAGAATTTATACTTTCTTTTTTTTCTATGCGGGATGATAATGTGTATTTGAATTGACGACTGTATTTAATCTACATATGCTTTTATCGACTGTTTGACCTGATCGCTTTTTACCACTGAATATTTAGGCCTATGGGCGAACGAAGTGGCCAAGTTGACGAACTATGATGTTCCTCTGGTTCACATTGAGCATCAGTACGCATCGATTGGACCAGTACCTGAGGTAACGTTTGGGGTCATTATTGCTATCTTTTGTTGTGTTCCCCATGAATCAGTCAATTCCAACTCACAAACTCTATTTAGAATGTTTCAAGATTTTTTTTTCACAGCGCAATATCTACACTACATTCTTTTGAATTTTTATCAGTGTGATTATTCATTAGTCTCACCGACCAGTTTCAAGAAGTCTGTGCTGTTATCCTCATTATACAGTTGTAATAAATTTCTATTCGCTTCTTCATTCAATGTGATGTTTAAGGTTGGTCACTTAGAGAATCTACCGGCAATTATTGATCACGATAGTACTTTCTATATTCGACGATTTGGCGATCATCTGATGTTTGGTGGGTTCGAGGGGCGTGCTTCTGGTGTGACAATTCATGAAGAATGGCGACACAAAGTGCCAGACGGTAAGATTAGCAGTTTAGCACTATGTGATTGATTGTTCACATTCAAGAATTTCAACTTCAGACTATTCCCACACTTGATTAAAATACATTTTTCACAGCGTTTGTTCCACACTTCGACTCGTTCTGGTATTCAGTATTTGTAAACATCGGACGTGTAATTATTCAGTCCGCGTAAATTAAAAGATTAAGCCGAATACAGTCCAGTGTTTAATGGTGACGAAGATATTATGCTCGTTTTCGTTTCATATGCGAGCGATTTCATCGTTCGACTCACTTATTGTACCGATTGATGTACATCTTTTTTACTCAGGACAAGAATTGTTGACTAGTCGATTATTTATTTATCTTTCATAATACTTATTATCAGATATTAAATTGGAACCACACTTCGAACGTCTCGATGAAGCGTATAAAGGTGCGTGCGATCTGATTCCCTCGTTAAAAGGTGCACCAGTGGATGCAAAAGCGTCAGCATTTACGATGACTGCTGATGGGTATCCACTGGTTGGACCAACAAGCTGGAAACAGAACTATTGGCTTCAGGTATTTACTTCACTTATTAATTAGATCAAATAAATTTCAGTCCTATATCCGTTCAGTCAAACACGATAAGTGGTAAATTTTTTAAACTTCAAAAGAACAACAGTGTTCACATTGATCGATTTTACTAGGAATTGAGAGGTGTTTTTTCTAGTCGGCTTACTTTGACGGTATATCGAGTGGTGGTGGTATTGGGAAATATTTGGCTGATTGGATTGTTGATGGTGAGCCGCCATCTGAGCTATTTGATACTGATGCGAACAGGTAGACATTTTTTTAAAGTTCTATTCTGACGAACGCACTCTAATGAGAAATGGGTCAAAAGTGCTATGAATCGCATTCTCCTCCTCATTACCAAAACAACATCAAGTGCAAATCTTCTTCTTGTACTCAAATAATGTTAGCTAATACCTCATATTGCAATTCGGCATAGTTCACCATTATAGTGAATATGTGGCCAACCAAACTAGAATAATTAACCAATTTTGCGTTTGTTGGTGAACGGTGCGCGTTATTAGAGTGTAGATCGTTGAATGGCTGAATGTTTTTTGATGATGTGAATAACTTGGTATGTGCAGATTTGATCGATGGGTAACGCGTAAATTCCTGAATAAAAAGAGTCGTGAAACGTATTCAATGTTCTATAATTGGTCGTATACAAATCGTTCTGGTGGTCGACCGACTGAACGACTCAGTGGTGTTTACGCAAGACTTGCAAAAGAAGGTGGCATTTTCTCATTCAGAAATGGATGGGAGGTGAGTGATATTCCATCATGACAAATTAACCGATACAAATATTGGAACTTTTGAAGAGGTTTTTCTCTGTCAGTAATTAGATTGTCTTTGTTTCAGTTGGATCATCTTTCAGGTTGCAGAAACGTTCTCGGTTGAAAATGAACCACAGTTACCAGCAATGATACGTGAATATGAAATGGTCACGAATAAATGTGGTATTATTGATTTATCGTGGAAAGGAAAAATCGAGGTTAATTTTCATTTCTTAATAATGGATCGTATGATTCTTGCCTATTGAAAACTTCTGTGAAGAGTGTTTAGAGAGTGGAATATTTTAGGTCATTAGTGGATTGCTCTATTAATTGTCAACTTACAGGTGCGTGGACCAGATGCAGAAGTGTTTTTAGATCGTATTTTAACAAATGCAGTACCTCCACTAGGTGCAATTACGTCTGGTTTGATGCTAACACGACGTGGAAACATACTTGCACCACTTAAAGTTTTCCATCATGATCAATTTAGGTGAATCTTTCGAGAACAACTATTCATCATCATGTGTGTTAATCATGAAACGAACTTATTGGGTATCAAAATTTGCTGTTTCAATAGTTCGTCACTGGTTATTGATGATGTATGCTTTTATTCGAATAGACGTTGAGAAAATTATATCATTTTATCGATTTCTTTAGGACAAATTTCATTCTCTTAACCGATCCAGAGAGAGAATCGCGTGATCTCTACTGGATCCAAAGAGCAGCCGATGAAATGAAAATGAAGGTTGAAATTTCTGCAGTTGGCGAATATCTTGCTTCACTCGCTCTTGTTGGTCCTTATAGTCGTCATGTAAGTACGATTAATTCCTATTATTCCAGTGCTTCCCTCTCACATTATATAATCTTGATTTGATGACTGACCATTTTGTATCGTTTAATTTTTAAGCACTCACCCCATTCAGGTATTGCAAGAACTAACGAAAAGTGATGTATCTGATGCCGGATTCCCACAACGAACCACTAAACTTTTACGATTGAACAATGTGCCCGCTATTGCAGCCCGAACATCCACTTCTACTGGTCAACTTTCGTTTGAGTTCTTCCATAATAGGTGATTGCTGAATGTTTGAATATTGTTCATTGAAACGCTCTTCTCAACGCACCAGAATTCATTGCAAGGCACACTGTGTTATCAGCTAGCCAGCTGAACGTGGAAAAATTTTTAGAGCTGATACGTTGAAATTGTATGATACGATGATGAAAGAAGGCAAGAATTATGGAATCGTTAATTTTGGTCAAGCCACTTTGAACATGATGCGTTTAGAACATGGCTTCAAACTATGGGGCAGAGAAGTGAGTTGATTGTTCATTGATTTCTTATCGTTGTTGTTCTTTCATTCCCCGTTACGAGAGTGTTTCCAGTTAACTTTGGACACGAATCCATACGAATGTGGTTTGGGTCATTTGGTGGATTTGAGCAAGAAGGATTTCATCGGAAAGGCTTCCGTACTTGAGCTATCACACAAACAGTGGAAAAGAAAACAGGTATTGAATATGCCGATAACTTCATTCATTTTTCTGTCATCTGTTTGATTTCTAAAATTAGTATTTCTCTCACAGTGTAATCAAATTTTCAATTTTAGAGTACCATTTTTATTGTTTTAAAAATTTTCTCTGTTGAGTTATTCTTGTAATATTCATCTCGTCTGCTTGTTTCAAGGTGTTGTTACAATGTGATCCACTCGAAGAGGTACATGACTGGGCCACTGTTCCGAAAGGCATGGAAGTTGTTAGGAAGCATGGAGCTGAAGAGGTTAATTTTGATCCCACCTCACTGCTTACTGGATAGTTTGTTAGATTTTACCAAGTTTGAAATGAACATTTGAAATGAACTCTAATGCTCATGTGAACATTTAAAAAGAATCATTTTCTGATTTTTATTTCAATTTTTGCAGCGAATAGGCCAAATAACATCCGGTACGTATAGTGTACGCCTACACCGTCCACTTGCATATGCTTGGGTCAATTCTGATATTTCACTCGACGATGAAGTAGGTTACCGTTTTTTGTCAACCAACCTGAATCTCTGTTATTAACATGTAAAATAAACTTTTGAATTTCGGCAGTCTTTTGTTCAGAACTAAGTATAAGCATGCATTTGTTACATTCCTTCCTTATATCATTTCCACGTAGGGCTGTATGATAATTGTTCTATTGCGTGATATTCTAAACTGACTTTGAGAGGTAGTAGTTTGTAGTAGTGTGATGCAGGGACGTAAAAAAGTCTGGGACGGGGGAAATCGGGGATGAAATTTTGCAGTCGGGACCCCGAAAATACGGCCGGCTCGAAATAATTCGTGGACGGGTATTCGGGGACGAGGTCCCCGATTCTCGCACCACACTCTAATGCTCATGTGAACATTAAACCCTATTATCTATTCCATTAGATATCTTACAGCGGTCGACTTTTTTCGATTAAAATACATGAACAGAAACTATTCAATATATGATTGAATGTCATAATAGATAATAAGGTTTGAATTTGCAAACAGATAAGGTGTTCACGTTCTTGAATCTCATTCATGTTTATTAATTGAACAGATGCTCATTTTTGTCGAGGTTATATGAGTGCATCATTGAATTTTTTGCAGTTAACAGTCGATATTGGTGGTATGCGTATCGGTGCTAGAATGCTCGACGGTCCGCCAGTGCCACTACCCAAAAACTAGTTGATTCAGTTCAAAAATTGCTTCAAATCTGAATTGATGTGATTCTTATCTTCGATTCTTATTTACCGTCTTCAGCAGTGATCGGTATTAATTGTCCAAAGTTTTCAAAAATATTTTCATTCATTTTCGCACCGTTCGTATTTTACTGGTTTTAACGTGTCAATAGATTTTAATTTTGCAATGGATTTGCAAGCGATAAATTTATAGTTCATATTTTACCATAATGTGAATTAATCGTTTTTGTGATGTATCATATTGATAATTTTAAATGTTTTGTTAGTTTGATTATCTATTGTTGTCGATTTGATTTCGCAATTAGTAACTGAATAAAAATTCCATTAGATATCTTACAGCGGTCGACTTTTTTCGATTAAAATACATGAACAGAAACTGTTCAATATATGATTGAATGTCATAGATAATAGGGTTTGAATTTCTTCTGATTGCCTCAATTCCTCAATAAAATGGCTGCAATGTGCCATGACGGCGAATAGAAGAAAGGTTGGAAAATACCAATCGAAAATTTTTGCCATTTTTATTTTGGGAGTGAGAGTTTATGAGAAGTACAACAGAAAGAAGAGAGCGAAAATATTGGTAGTAAGCAAGTGTATATTCTGAATGATGTAATGCTGATTGGTAAGGAAGATGTTATTTTGTTTTCTTTGGTTGATTCTAGAATCAGAATTCCGGAACTGACCACTTACGTGTTGGATGGCCAGAGGTAACACATGATTTTCTGCGGCTAATGAAGGCTCCAACCCTACGAAGTGTGTTGTCATCCTATTTTGTGTATTTTTCAGCGTCACTCTTCGAAAGATTAACTGACGCAACGTTTAGCACGGTGTTTGTTCATTTTATCTATTGCTCACTGATATTTTCATATCAGATTATTGTGTTCATATAATAAAACGATGCAATAATGTTCATACAATAAAATAGTATTCATATTTTCGCTGCAGTTGGCCTCAGTTGAAGCCAAATCTCGTTCCAGAAATGAGAGCCTAATCACGATTGAAGAGTATCAACTATCTAAATGGAAACGATTTGATCCCAAGCTTAAGACTCCACCTAAAACCCAACACTTTTAGGTTGTTGAATCATTTTCGCTTTTCCTAACTTATTCAAAGATAGTATTTGTTTCATTGAAGAACCTGTTGTTTGCTCACTTGGCGGTAGCATTTAGTGAGGAAGATTATCTAGTAAGACCGATTTGCAGTAACTAAACGTTTGCTTGTCATCTCAATTTGTCGGCATTTGCAGTTTTCAAGCGAACGATGTCGACAGGATCAAATTCGAGAACAGTAGCTGTTAACGTGAAGTAACACTTGCTTTAAATAACCGAACTGAAGTATATTGGCTGAAGGAAGAGTGAAGCACAATAAGCGAACAATAAAAATCAACTTTTGAGTCAAAATGATAGTCGTATTCGAGTAAATTCAAGTTAAATAAATGTGTAACTACAAATGACATAATATAACGAAAATGCTATGTATGCATTGTCAAACAAATACATTCACTAGACTTTTAATGTGTTTGTGGCTCATAAAAATAAACATATTTGTAATAAGGCCTCAGAACATCTGAAAAAAATAGTAGAAAAAAACAGAAGAAAAACAATAGATCGAGAGACTAATTGGGACAGCTCCTCTGACCGACGTTGAGATACCGATGGATAAATCTCTGCTCAGTGGCATCAATCATCTAAATAAAACTTAAGTAATATTTTCGAAACTCAGGCACAAATTCAAAGAACTATTAAAAAACATAACAATTAATCACGGTTTCTGCATTGTGGCACACTTAAAATTAGCCTCAGTTTGCTCGCAAATTTTCGGCTGAACTTGTCATCATCATATGAAATAAACGAACGACTAAATAAATAAATAGTTATATAATTTAGCATAAGCACATCATTCACTTCATAACATCATTCAACGAAGTTCACTTGCTCTCTACAACTGTATTCCACTCATCTCATCACGCCCACCTACCTTACACAAAAACGAATCACCGCTGCAACAATGAATTAATTCGGATGGATCAGAAAGTTGAGTGACTATTCATTTACCTCGTATAAGATACAGCAGGCATATAAATAGTTTTTTGAAGTGAAAACTCATCAAAAATATGTGTGCAGTGAATAAATAAGCTGTTAAAAAACACCTAAACTCGAATGATTGTTCGAGCAAAAAGAGCTGAATGGAAGAGATTGCTTTAGGCAGTGCTGTACGCGTAAGAAATTCGAATGAATGGTTATGAAAATTTTTTAAAAATTCTGAATTTGATAGCAAATTTCTAAAGCATCGAATGCACGTACACTCAAAGTTGTTTTGGTGTGAGAAAAAAAAGAAAAATTTCAATTTGGAAACAAAGAAATCCAGCAAAACGAATCAATGAATAATTATAATTGGACAATTACTTTAGCACCAAAATAATAACAAACATATCAGTACTGTTGATATTAATAATATCACCATTTTATTGTTATATTTATTTTTATGATTGTTATTATTCGTATTATTATTGTTGTTGTTATTTATTATCATCATCATTATTCGATCTTCAACGCGTTCGCTTATCGTAAGTGAGCAGTTTGTAGAAGAGCAACAAAAGAAAAACGTTTGCAACAGCCAACATCAATGGCAACCTCCATCGAATCAGCCATGCCTGTAAATGAAACATTTGACTGATCGAAAGACTGTATTTTTTCTGATCGCTTGATGCATAGAAGAAACTAACCCTAAACGCGGGATGAAATAAATATCGAAGTGGATTGCTCCTCAGCAATTGTTCCTCCTCAAGAAGACGTTGCATTTCTTGTCGTTGCTGAGAGGCTAACCGCGCTGCCTCCTCCCGCCTCAAATAGACGCCTGTATTTTCCAGTTCAGTCAAATTCGGTAAAGATCCACGGCTATCGTCTTCATTCACCAAGTCGCGAGATACAACTTCATCTAATCGACGATCCCTTGCAGATGCAAGTGTTGAACGCCTATTCAAACCCTTAAATATATCAATTTTCAACTCCGTTTTGTCCACAAGAAACAACTCTCTCTCTCCCTATCGAATGCAATTGAAATTTTTGTCTAAATAAGTTTCATTCAATTCAACAATTCCGACTGTCGGCATCAGTTCGATCAGAGATTTGAATGCTATTCGCACTCAATAATTCCCGGTTGAACACCAAAATTGATCTCGTTGACGCTTGTGAACTCAGCATCAGTTCTTTTTGCAGTTTTAAAGAAACAAAAAATTCTCATGACATTACTTTAATGCTACGAAACTTTCAGGTAATGAAATATCGTCGCTAGATTACTCACTGATTTCACAAGAAAGCAAGTAACGAAATTGTGTTTTGAAAAACCTGGCCCATGTCTTGCACAGCATCTGGTTGCCTTGTCAAAGAGGGTCGATTCCTACGCAAAAGTTTGGCATGACTTGGATTTGCAGCCATCATATATTGATCGTAGTGATCATCACTGAGCGACATCCTTGAGCTACTCTGTGTCGGATTTATTATCTGAAACTATAAAAAGAACACAGTCGCATAATCGTATTCACCAGTGATGGGCATTAGCGCGCTAATCCGCTATTAGCGAATCAGCGTTAGCGATTAGCGCGCTAACGTACTCAGTTAGCGGAATTTTTTAACGTTAGCGGACTTATTGTAGTTGGCTAGCGGTTTAGCGAGCTAATTTTTCGCGAACGTTAGCGGATTAGCGGACTACTCCCACTAATCCGCTAATGCATAAATGCGCTATTTGCACCATAACACCGCACTAAATTCAAGCCTACCGTACCCGTACCCTCTCGAACGGTTCGTATTCAATCAAGTTATTGTTGTCGTTGATAATTGTTTACCAAATTTTATCATCGGTCATTGATAGGAGAAATTTGAAAGGTATTATTATTTCAAATATAAGAGATGATGGATGTGTGCAATGCGATTAGGTAGTGTAGTCATTATCGATGAGAACAAATGAGATGTCATGAATTAGTAGGAAGAAGCAAAGATCGAAGAAATGTTAAAAGGATGAATGTGTGGTTGATGATTGCACTGTACATTGTTGCGACATCGAATCGTGCGGGAATTTTGATATAATTAACAAACTGATGCTTATTAATGACTGGTGATTTTGTGGTGCTTGTTGACCGGTGATTATTATTGATTGATGATTATTGACCGTTGTTGAATGATTTCATAAAAATTTTCAACTGTTTAATGTAACAATGAGGTTTTTCCTTTACAAATAAATGATGCTACTGCAAATTTTGAGGGAAAGTTCCAAATTAGCGATAGCGTTAGTGAACCAATTTTGTTTGATTAGCGGATTGGCGTTAGCGCTCCACTAATTTTTTGAGGATGTTAGCGTTAGCGATTAGCGCATGTAGCTATTGGGTTAACGGATTTGCGATTAGCGCGCTAACTTTTTTTCATTAGCGTGCCCATCACTGGTATTCACACATTCAAACACCAACACTGCAGCATATACTAATCGAAAAAGATTTGATCGAACAAAAATTCAGTCGGATGTTACAAGGATGGAACGATTGATATGTCACTCACCGGAGAGGTATTCTTAATAGGTAGCGGAGGTGACGGAGGAGTTGGTGGATCAACAGATGAATGCTGGGCAATATTTTCGAGGATCGTTTGTTGTTGTTGTTGTTGTTGTTTTTGAATAAAATGTAAATCATTACTATATTGATTATTAATATCATTAAAGTCAGATGAATGTACAATATGATGAGCGATATGTGGTTGTAATTGCTGATGGTAAAGGTGGGACGGTTGCTGTTGCTGCTGCTGTTGATAATGCATTACTGACTGTTGCTGCTGGAAAGGAGTTATATTCGACGAGGGTACTGATGATGATGAAAGAGGTGTTTGATGCACCGAACTAACAGCCATCATCTCATCCATATTGACGTCGTAATGCTGAGGCTGACCAGATGGCTCATGCACAACCATTTGTGTTTGCGAGAGCAATTTTGGGGCAGCGGTCGGCATGTTCGATTCAAATGAGACATGATTCGCATGATTCTGCTGTAAACGATTCATTCGGATCGCTTCAGTGCCAGGTTGTTTAAAATCTGGTGCAAACTGCTTCGCACATATACGTGCCGTATCTGAATCTTCACGCGCCTGTGTTGCCACAAACTCGGCTTGTTCAGATCGTTCGCGTGCAGTTGTGGTTCGTGAGATCGCAATATCTGCCTGAATAAAGATTTATGTTCAATAAGCATTTTTCTCATTTGCTTCCGGTCATTTCTGCTGCTATTTTAAAATTTATTTATTGAAAACGAGAAGAAATGGCAAATTAAGTGAAATAAACTGTTCCTTTTGTATAATAGCGCAATAAAATATGCTGATAAAAACTATAACAACATATACTTTTTGTTGAGCGATTGTAGCAGCACGATTTGCTGCGTCAACAGCGTTTTCGACACGTTCTTTAATCTTGGAAGTACGCACGAACAGCAATCCTTTTTTCCTGTTTGAGCATATCAAAATATTATTCTTATATTTACCTTCTTCTCTCCTGAAAATATATCTATTAGACAGGCGAGCATGACACCGATATTGAATTCCATTTCATGCCGATGTGCATAAGAATAAAATTAATTATTTCGAGAATAATTTTCCAATATCCCTTCGTCAAAAAAACCATTCATATGCCGAGCTGATTTATAGTAACGCTTAATTCTCATTTAAAAAAGCTTCATCTTGGGTGGCCCCACCCAATGAATTTTTGAAAGTTCCTACTAAATTGACATCTGTGACGTCGTCAGCCGGATAAATTTCCGAGGTGCTACCATGCTTTCATGAGACAAGGAAAGGAGAGCACTAATTCCAAAAATGGGGCGATTAGGGCCGTACAGATTCTGCAGAAATCACCCGGATAAAATTTTCCTTCTCTGCTCGAGTCATTTCGTCTAGGCTTATGCTTGGACTCAGGCTGAAAACACTTTGCCTCGATTATCTTATCATATTTAACCATCTAAGTTGTGAGGAGAAATTTGTCAACATTCATATGATTTGATGGAGTTGAGATAAAGTTTTACTGATGTAGAGAGAGTGATTATCAAGGTATGTTGATTGATCTTAAGAATGAGATGACTTAGACACTTACGTTCCGTCTTTGAAAGAGGTAATTCCATAGCCACATTTCCTATTATTGAACCATTCACCTTCGTACTTGAGTCCATCACTACGTTCACAAACTCCAAATCCACATCGTTTATCATTCTTCCATTCGCCTTTATACGTTTCTGTTGTGTTCGCATCGATATGTTCCTCCTTCATTGAATCAGTCGAATTAATAAAATTATTTAGTTTTAGTATTCACTCCAAGTTTTTCGCTTTCAAACACCGTTATTTCTTAACGAATCTTGCACAACTTCAATTTGCGTTACAATGCATAACAACCTGAGGGACGATGAAGTGCTCCCTAGTGGTTCGATGCTCCGACTCATCAGACGTACAACTCATCGTGCTTCCACTCGACCTCAGACTTCCTGCAACTCACACTTCTTGCAGGTCCAAAATTGTCTAGTTTTATTGGTGAATTCGAAGAAAACCGTAAAGCTAGTCAATATACCAATTGACAACTGAAAATGCGACGAACATTCCCGCACATTTGCTTGCGAAAACAATTTCAACAGCATACAAAATTGTATACTTCCAATCAATTCCAGCATTTATCACTCATTTATCTCACCATCATTGTCAGCATTGCAGATCTCATTCAATAGGCAAGGCCGTGAAATTCCCCAAACAGCGAGGAACAGCTCATCAACAAATTGCATTCATATATTTCATTTAACAAAAAAAAATCGAAGTGAATGCTGAAGTTACACCGAGAGTTGAAGCATACTGCTCATTGAGGTGAGAAAACTGTTAATCTAGTGACCACAAAACTGCACTGGAAGCTTTCATAACTGTAGAATTAAAGGCACGTTAGCACAGTTAATGAAGAAGAAAGCTAACAAGGTTACTAAGTTTACATGAACGCAAGCAAAAAATACCAACATCAAACAATAAAAGTGATTAGCAGAAATTGTTAGCTTTTGGTCCCTTATTAAATATTTCACTACTAGAATGAAATTTCCAAGACATCTTAAGTAACTGTTTGACCAATTAATTCACTCAACTGATGCAGTTTCAGAGGGGAGGAACCGGTGGATATTCCGTGAAAAATGCATCATTTTCCAAAGAAGTCATTAAATATGCATTCCTCTTCAGTTCATGGAGTAAATGCTACGAATGATATTTCAATATTGACAATCATTAAAACTTAGGATGGTTTGACTGAAGGAAATCCAGAACACAGATAGCAGTTATTAATTAGCAACACTACTGATCTACATTTAATCTTAATGTGATATGGCAAGGTGCTGCTGAAGTTTGGCTTACATGGCTGAGCAAAGTGCCTTAACTTTTTCCTTATTCGTTCTTTATCAGATGTTGATATAAGCTACGAGAGATGATTCCAAACCCCTTAATCCGATTGGAACTGATTACTGTGTCACTTCATAAATAAATAGTAAGAAGTTCCACTGATGTCAATACTGACATATGCCCGAGAGCTTTGCTGTATAGGAATTGTTGTTCAGATTGCCGCTAAAGTGCACGAATTTCGTGAAAGTAGCATACGTTAGTTAGATTGAAGAAGTAAGTTAAAAGAAATCAAATGAAAAAAGGAGCATCGAGATTAAACAAAGCTGCTATCATTCATCACACTCAGGATGAATTATGAACTTCCGAGGGTGGGGTTATATGAACGAACCCGTAATACTTGTGACTCGTTGATGAATATCGCCAGTTGAATGCTGCTTCTTGATGCGAAGTCCTGACAGAATCGTTCGTTTCACAGCGAGAGAACGCTCGGAAAGGGATCGCCGCCTTCGTGAGGGTGCTTCACTGCGCGCTTTCAACACGAAACCGCCGCGTCCCTCATCTCTCTCTTCTAAAAATACATCTTAATTATAGCATCCTCTGTACAAGTTCCAGACAGAGGTGAAATTTATCAAATACTGACGTCAAATTTCACAGCAACGAAAATCGAAAAAGAAGTTTTCAAAAGAGCGACAGCAATAAAAACAGTAAGTTCCAAGTAATATTGATTTGAGAGGTACCGTAGTTTTTCCTTTCTTCTTCGGTTTTTTCGTCCTGTTCATCGCAATTTTCAGACCTTAGTGACGTTAAAGAGGCATTTGTATGTGAGCGAGATCGAAATTTGGCCGCCACTCCATATGGAGCGCTTTTTCTGATGCCATATCCGTGTCGCGTTCCACGTAGCCATTGACCCTGATATGTACCTAAAAACGACACGGTCGATAAACAGCGTGCAATATTGAAAAAGAGAAAGGAGTGAGAAGCACTTTCGAGATGAACGATTCTAGTGAGGTTCTTAATAACGAAAGTTTGACGACCACCCACAAAGTTCGATTGATCGAACTGATTGAGACGAAAACAATATCGACTTCAATATTGCATTTGAATACTTGATGCTTCATTTAAGATCATTTAGATGATGAAAATAAAATCAACTGTTCCAAGTGATAGCTTGCAATAAAATGGAACACGACGCAGAAGTGAATGTTTGTTTTACGGGGTAATGATAGAGCAATAAAGTGCGATTCGAAGGTGATATGTGAAAACGATTTCACTGTCACCGTCTAGTGATAATATTGAAAACTAAAGCAGTCAAAACGAAAAGTTGTTTAGTTACGTGAGTGTGATATATTTTTCGGGTGAATTCATTAGAATTTATGAAGGAAGTAAAATATTGCTTTGTAGATCAGGAGACGACAAATATGCACTGGTTGAATGCTCATGGCGGTGATTCTGTTAAAGTAATTCTTCTCGAATTACAGACGCTGAACATTATTTGAAGATGAATATCTTGACAGAATAGACTAAAAACGTTCAGAAACATCTACACTCTCTAAACCAAGTTGTGCGAATTTGAACGTCAGAAAATGTCATCGCTTGGATACACTGGTTTCTTTGTTATGAGAGCAGGTAAGAGCTATGAATGAAGCACCCTTGCTGTACCACCAATGCAACCACTCTCTTTCTAAATTCTCATAAAGCTAAAGTTTGCGCTACACTATGATACAATTCATCACTGGGTTTGAGTGGTACGAAAATTCTCCAAAATATTAAAGGTTATTCGCTATTCTCAACTTCAGACGGACACAAACTCTTTTCCGACTATCTTATTTGAAGGCATTCATTTACCTTCTTTCCGATGAGCAGCAACAATCATATATTGAAAAAACAACTTGCATGAATTCGGACACAGAACAGAACATTTTCTTCCACGCGCTAATGAAGAGAAGATGAACACAAAAATTTATGCATTCATTAAAACCAATAAATATAACACTTCTTCTGTGTACTCTCGTTGGACTGATTCTTCAATAGATTATGTTGAAATGCTTATTTGCGAAAATGTTTATTGTTAGCCGTAACTTTACAGTATTTGATTTCAATTATTTGCTGTACTTATCCAATTCAGATCATCTTTTCACTTCAAATTCCAGTTCAAATCATAAGCGTAAACGATCGTCACTAGTTCATTCAAATTTATTTCAAATTTTTGAAATGAAATGAAGCCGGTTGCTGGCCCGATCAACTCGACTAACTGAAAACGAATAGGTAGATCAGCCGTTCAAATTTTTGTCAAAGCTGTGTGCATATTCTTTCCCTAATTTTGAACCTCGATAAAGATAAAGACAATTGTGAAGTTCTCAAAAAATGCTCCGTTGAGATGGTATAAAGTGGTGGAGAGCTTTAATGAAGATGTTTCGCTTTTCATGATCAAAATGGAAGTTAGAAATTGCTTTGAACACATTCCTAAGTCAAAAATTTTGTAACAGTTAAGAAGGAATTTTCCTGACTGTATTTTCTATATATTTTACTCCGGAATAAGACACCAAAACATCTAAAATGCATCAGCCTGGCTAAGTTAGGTAAGTATTTAAAGCGTTGTTCCAAAACATTCTGACTTTCCAGCTGACTACAACCATGCCCCTAAAACTTCTCAACATGCACAAAAACTCACGCACTGGTCACTGCACAAGAGCATCCTAATGTGGATTCCTTGAAAATTCAATCAGTAAAAGAAGAATGGATTCGCTGGAAAGTTTATCGTTGGGGGCTGTAAGAGCTGTAGGCCGAAAATTAAATGGATACAAAGATCGAACAGGCTACCAAGTAGCACACATTTTAACTTTCAATAACACATTTTCAGTGTATTTCTATGACTGCTACTCCAAATTCAACGAACTTTCGAAATTTTCGAAGATATGCAAGAACAGTGGCAAAATTCATGCCGCATAAGGTATGTCGTTCATAAGAGATGAAACGACGGTTTGGAAAGAATGCCGATAAAAATGGTGAAAGCTGACTAAAAACAGATTTCAACGTTAAATTCGTTCAAATTTTTGAGTATCATAATAGATAATATGTTTACAATTTTGAGCAGCGAAAGATTCAGTACATTCAATAATGAAAATTTCTCACGTCCGCTAGTTAATTTTTTTGGAAATACGGAGGTATTAGGAGTGGTAATATCTCCATACCACTTTTTTTAAAACCGTTCTATTCTACTCTTTTGGGCTCAAAAACGACTCTATTCTATCTCGTTTGAGAACTGTTTTGTTCTATTCTATTCTGTAGTACCCCCTGAAACTGTTCTATTCTGTTTCGTCAGAAAAGTGACATGATAAAAGTTGTGGTACTTGGGGTTGGAAACGTATTTTTTGGCGTTTTCAGTACAAAATGGAGATAATTTCGGGTGGGAGTAGATTGTCCACGCGGGCAGCTGGCAGCTTTTCACTGTGATGATTGCAGGAAAACGCAGGGTTTCGGGCTCTGGTAACCAGCATCGTTGAAGAACAGAGGATTCCCCTTTCGTCCCAACAGTTCAGTCAGAAACTGATCTACAATTTCTCATAATAATGAGTTCGGATTGAAGTGATTCGTTCAATCGGATTCGAATCGTCCAAGCATAAACTTTGATTGGAGGCGTAAAATGTGAACAATTTTTGTGATGGATTGCTCGTAGAGTTTAGAGCACGACCAACATTTGAAAATAGGGTGTTCTTTCGGAAACACAGTTGCACTGGTTCTCGAGGGATTCCTCCCAAACAGTTCTTGGTAGTTTTGAGAATTAACTGCGATAACTTGCCCTTGATGAGCTGTTTAATAATAATAATAATAATAATAATAATAATAATAATAATAATAATAATAACAATAATAATAAT